TATATTACAATAATACCAAATCAGTATACTGATTTTGGGCAAGTTACGTGCCGAGCACAAAACGAATTAGGTTTATTTGGTGAATGTCATGTTAATATGATTTTAGGAGGTGAGAAACAAAATATTTATTTAATTGTAATTAAATATATTCTTATTAAGGTATACCTGATCCAATAAAATCCTGTCATTATACATATTTAAATTCGACATTAACTGTAAATTGTGTAGCGGGTTATCATCAAGGTGATGAAGATTTTTTTTGTTATATGTATAAACGTCAAAAGAATGGCTCTTACTCTGAACATGCACGTTTAAAAGGTTTATAAAGTTATTTAAAAAACAAATCTCGAAATATCTTTTCTTATATGTTAGGCAATTGTGCATTTATACTTCCTGATCTTAAACCTGAACTTTATCATGACTTTCAAGTTTTTACAAAAAATAAATATGGAGATAATTATGAACGAAGTTATTCAATTAAAGTTGGAAAACCAAAAGGTATGTTTCTTAAATAAATTTAAAATAAATATATATATCTATAATCATTATATCTAGTCGATATCTTTACAGAAAAAGCTCGTATTTATTGGCCTTATCTAGCTTTATTCGTTATTGGTGCATGTCTTGGTTCATTAGTTTTAATCTGTTGTTCCTGTCATAAAATGCGAAAATCAATGCATAATAAACGAAAAGCTACCGAAAATTTTGAAAGTAAATATTCCAATAAAAATTCATTATCCGTATAAATCGACATATTTTAGATCTTACTTATCAAAATCATGATTCTCATCATTCACATAGCAATTCAAATGGGAAAATGTCTTTCGGTAAAAAAAAATATAGTTTTTCTTAAAATTTTTGAATTTAGCACGTAGTGAACAGAGATGTGGTGTGGGTGTAGGTGTAGGTGCGAGTATATAACTAGGTTTGGGTGAAGAAAAGATGAAGCCACATCCACCATCAAGGTGGTATGCGATTGTTATTAATGTACTATCTATGTATTAATAATAAATTTGGTGATCAAAAATATTCATACCCTTTCCTTTATCTTCAAGAGATTCTTATTAGATCGATATAATTCAATCTATCAATCTAATATAAAGCATATATTTCTTCTTATCTTCTTGTGTCTAAGTCTTTTTTATTTATATTTTTAGTACATTTAAAACAAAATGGTAATGGAACAACATATCCTGTTCGTCCCTATCGTTCAAAAGATCATTTAATATCTTATGAATCTTCAACATTATATCGTAATAATCCACAATTTAAAAGTATGTATTCAACTGACGATGATATAATCTCTAGTCGACGAAATACATTTAAAGAAACAGATCTTGATCATCCACTTAATGTATCAAATGATCAATTAAATGGAACAATAAAAACTTTACCAATAAATCGAAATCGTACACTTCTTTCGACATTTGATTCTCAACAAGATCAATTAAATGAAACAAATCAAATTCCTGTAGCAATGCAACGTCGTTCAAGTTTTCAAACGGCAACAAAATTAAATAATTTAGATTTCTATACAACACAAGAATCATTCTATTTTCTTGATAAACAAATAATAAAACCTAGTCAACGTAATCATTACTCACCTGAACATTATCGTGACAAACATTCGCCATATATTAAAACCGATCAAAATAACCTTATTGTTGAAAATACAATGTTAATAAATACAAAAAATGAACAACAAATACGTGAAATTAATCCTCTTAATGAATTTACTCGAGATAATTTCAAAGATACGAAAAAATTTATTTTAAATAATAATAATCATCATTCAAAAGAAGAACGTAAACTTGATGATGGTATTTTTGTGTAATTCCTTCCTTTATTCATATTTGTATATATAAAACCAAAATCTTCATGTTTTTATTTCATTTTATGTTGTTTGTTTGTTTTGAAAATTTTCATAAATATAATGAGTTATAATTAACTTTAATATATCACTATTACATACTTCAGCAATAATTTAAAAAGAAAATATTTGTTTTCAATAGAAATAAATTATTAAATAATTGATGAGAAAATGAAGGTAAAGATATACAAGGATATAATTTTATGTTCAGTGAGTTGACTTACGCTTCGAGATATAAATATATTATATGAACAATAATTGAGATAGGCAGAATAATTCCCATGTGAAAATATATGGATTGTTTTTATTTCTAGATCGATTAGATATGGTTCGTAGTCAAGTTATTGGACTTGAATTTTCTATTTAATTTAGTCATCTTTAATTATTTTATAAAATGACTTCGAGATTGATTATCTTAAATTTATACTTAATTCTATAAATCATGCAAAGAATTCAAAGATCAGAAATATCTGAGAAAAAGAAACAGTTTATTGCGCCTTTTTTCTCGACGTAAGCATAAAAAATTGTCATTTTGCGTCATGATGATCTAGAGAACCATTTCAGATAATTAAAACGAACAGAAAAGGCTAAACTTAGGCATTACTTTCTTCCAAAAAAATATTTTGCAACTGATGATAGATAGTGAATCATAAGCATTGTTCCGACATATGTTAATTTAAATTCTCAATTTAGATGACCTCAACTGTTGAATTAGTGTCACCTGTAGTTTGGCAGTATATAAATTTGACTTCATTCTAGAGTAATCGTGATTGCTGAAAGAACTGTGAAGACCTTAGAACCTTGGGGATGTAGTGAGTATGTGTTTGATGTTCATCAACACTCGCACGTTCAATAAAAACAAAAAAGTATTTGTAATCAAATTTAATCAAGGCTAAATGTATTAATGTTGTGTTCGATATAAAAGAAAAATCTCGTATACCAAAAACTTCAATGTGATAAATTATAATCGATATTAAATAGAATTATTTGGGAGAATCCATTTATCAACCATCTTGAGGGTGTGGATGTGGGTGAGTGTGAGGGTATGAATGAGGATGTAGGTATGGATGTGGATGTAGGTGAGGGTGTGGGTGTAAATCAGGGTGTCCCTTGTTTAAACAGGACACTCACACCCACACCCACACGACCTGTAGACTTATACTAATCAAAATATATAAATATATCATGCAAATAATTTACTAACTTGTACACCGCCTGGAGGATTTTGTAAACCTTTTTGATTAATATTCGAAGTACTTCTTTCACCAATATCATTATCACTCGAATCTGTTTGTTCATCTTCAGGTAAAAGAGCTTCTGGAGGTTCAGATGCAATTTTATTTGCCTCTTCAAGTTCAGCTTCTAATTTTTCATCAAAAATTTGATCAACTGTAGTTTCTTCAGCTATATCATTATCTACTGTGAAATCGACTTCATTATCAAACAGTAAATTTTCACCAAATAATACTTCATAGTCATCATCCATCATTCAGTATATATCTTAAATCAAAATATATATTATTAAATAACATCAGAAAACTGTTACTCTACTGAAGTTGATGTAGCATTCTATTGTTTAGATAGTAATATGTGAAAGAATGTAGAGGTTTTTTCATTCTATACTAAAAGCAAAATTACCCACTATACTATTTGAAATTTTGAACAATCAAATAGTTAGGTTGACCAACAGTAACGAATAAATGAATATATTAACACTGATACGAAGAGCAGGATAAGATTTCTTAACAAAAAAATTGAATTATTATTCAAGTTTTAGGCGTCTTATATCTGTCATCATCTGGCGTAACAATCGAAAAAGAAAAAACTCTATCTATATAAACAACATATAAAGAGACTTCAAACACCAAATTGATGAAGTTTGCTAAGAAATCTTATCATGTTCTTCATATCAGTGTTATACTCATTTATCTCTCATTTGAATAACCAACCCAGAATCATTTTATATTTGAGACATAGATGTCATTCGATCTTAATTATTATTTCTATACTTCAGTTTTAATTCAAATGTCTATCTGGGCAGACAAGGAACGAAAGATTTGACGTTCTTACACGTAAAAATGTTTACTTTTTACGCTTGGAGAAAAATTCTTTTTTCGTCGAAAGAGTCGAGTAGCTAACAATAAACAGTGTCTTCATCATTTTGTTTTCAAAAACAAAATTTTTTTGGTCGTGTAAAAAGTGCACATTTTTACGGGTAGAAACGCCATAGTTTTCGTTTCTTGTCTGCCTGGGTAAGACTTTATTTGTATTAGAACGTTCTATGAAAAAATGTACAAAACAAAACTAAGAAAAAAAATGATATTGAATTAATCTAAACATATCATAATCGTTGTAAACATAGTTTATGATAGAAATTGTTATAATCAAACACTTAAAAAGATATTTACGCAGAAAAACAATGAAAGTTATGTCTCATCCGACTTTGTTTGTTGTAAACTTTGAGATAATAAAATCTTGTATAGAACAATTATTATAAATCGATTAATAAATCATGTAAATAAGATCGAAATATTTATTTTATTAACAAAAGCACAACCGCACTATATGTTATAAAGAAATAATTAATTAACTATAAAATTCTAAATCACTATCATCATCATCAATACCTTCACCAGATGTTATTTTATTTAACTATGAAGATGACGATGTTGTATTCCAACAAGTTTTTCAACAGTATATATTATAACACGTTTAGCTTTATCATGTAAATTATATGAAATTTTAATAATCGTGTAAAATGATCAACTTATCTCGTCTATAATGAAAGATTTTGTTCAAGTAACATTTTTTATTATAAAATCTTTATCTAAATCTATAATATTAGATGAATAATTGTACGACGTACGGTTGATGTTAATTGACCAAATATTATCATAGATGATGTTGTTGGAACATGACGATAAAATTCTTTTTCAATAAAATCAATTAAAAAAATAAAGATCAGAACGATTCAATGCTGTACGAAATAGTGAACCAGTACGTTTTGAACGAGAAAGTGTATTCGATGTTGATTCAGATGATACTGATCGTTCATCATAGTGTGAATTTTTTATAATAGATGAATTCTTATAATTCATATCAACTTTCGATTGATCTTCATGTCGTTTAAATAATGTAGAAGAATCAAATTTATATGGCGAATGAATAGATGATACTAAATGACAAGAAATATTATATTTATACATATATATATTTATTCATTTACTATTTCGTTGCTGGGGTACACGATCAAAATTATAGATATTGTTATTAATAATTCTATTTGTTTCATTCGATACAGGTTTTTGCCAGTTAGGATATTTTGTTTCTAAATATTGTGGATGACCAGATTTTAAACGTATTAAATCTTCTATATTCATACGTATTTGAATTAAATTACGTTCTGCTTGTATTATATCATTTAATAATTGTGAATTACGTTTTTTAGCATGTTGGGATTCTTGATTAAGTTGTGTAAAATACGATTGAATATGATCAATTTGTGGTTGTTGTATTAATCCTGAATTAATACTCGATAATGATTGTAATTTTTGTTCAAGTTGAATACGCTCTTGTTGACTTTGTAAAATTTTTGAACGTAACCGTATACGCTTTCTATGATAATCCGTTAGCACAGACGACATCTCTTAATTTTTGTTCTCTAACAGGAACGATTACAAGAAGAAAAAAGAAAAGATATAATTTACATATATATATATATGATGTTACAAGATAAAAAGTGAAACGATTGCTCACATGCTTACACCTTTCTCTTTTATTATTTTTTTTTCTTTTTGTTTTCTTTGAGGGTATCAAGAGTAGTCGTTATGCTGCCATAATCCGACAGAGAAAAAAGAAAAAAAAGAAAAATATATATTTGATTCAATGGATTGAGAAGAAACAAAAAGTCATTCTATTAGTATAATATTGCTAGAATAATTATTTTCATTTGAAGATAGACTGAAAACTGTTATATTTATTTTATCAAAAATGAAGATAAATATTATCTTGCACAACTATTGCGTTGTTATAATGAGACGTTTCTGTATTTGTTTGTTGCTTTGTTTTGTTGTTAGAAAAATGAATTAGTCTATAATTTTGTTGAGTAAAACAAACATTGGAGTAACTGAAAAAGTTCCATCTTGGGAATATGGATGAGATTGCCATAGCAACGATAGTATAATTATCTTCGACACACATGTTTACCTATCCTTTCAAATGATTCTTCATATGTGACAATAAAACTAAGATTCCGATTAAATGGAGAATATTGTTTTTATAAATTATTCAGTAGTTTCATTGATTGTTTATAAGCCTGTATTGTTCTGATTGATAACATATATTTATAGAGGATGTGGGTGTGACTTTACTTTTACTCACATCCACATCCTCACT